CCTAAATTTTCTGATTTAAAAAAAGAACCCCAAATTCATATTTTTCTGTGATTATAGATAGTATGTTTATATCTATCCATAAGATCCTTTAAGGGGTGCCATGGAGGGGCCAAGCAATATTAGCACGGTTAAGTGTGGAAACGCCTCCAAGTAGTTTACAAGATAAGCCCAGAGATTTCAAATGGGAATTCATAGTGTTAAAACTGTTCTGTGGTCTTGTCTGAGGTCTTGGCAACAAAAGAATTGATCTAGTATTTTTTTGTAATAAAAAAATGAGCAACAACTAAGAGCTGGCATTTTTTGAGAGGTGCCTCAAGTCTAACGAGGGATTCCTTGAGTCTGTCGAGGTTGAGAACCACTGTTAATCAGCTGCATAAACTTCTTATTGCCTCAGCTGTCTGCTGGCCCATGTAGTGCTTACCTACCTACCAGGTGAGTCCAGTGTTCCCGGGGACTAAAACTCCATTTAGCACAATTCCATGCCCAAATTCTGCAGAGGATCTTTAACATTTCTAGTGCTTATTGCTAAGAATTTGAGGGCAGAATTATTAGGAGTAATTTAATTGCAGCTGGGCAGTATTGCTAAAAGCAGTGATTTATGACTCTTGGAAACAAACACTGTCTGGCATTGAAAATGCGTTTGTTACTATTTATATTTCAGTATTGACTAGATCGCTATTGTGCTAGGAGCTGTACATTCACATAATAGGCTACGTGTCCCTGCCCTGAAGAACTAACAGTGTTGTTATGTGTGAGGAGCAGGCACAAAGAAATCGACTGACCAACTTGTCTGGCAAAGCCAGGAACCGAAGCCCAATTTTCAGTCCTTGTACACTGTTTGAAACGTTGAACCATCTTTCCTCCACTGAAATGCCAGCTCCCATTTTGTTCAAAACCAGCAAAAATGTAAATGTCCATCTCTTCCTTCAGTAAAAGTCCTTGAATGAAATTCCCTTGAGTCCACTGTATCCATTTCACATTCAGAAGCTACCTCAGGAAAAAATGTTCGTCTTAGTGTTATGGTTCAGTTCATCTACAAAAGACATTTGAAAAGAAGTCGCTTGAAATGATTGTGGGCTTAGAGGCTGGATATGTTTTCAAGTAAGGATAGAAAATGCGGTTCTCGTTGTATCCGGGTTTTATCTCTGCATGCTTCTTAATATAGATCAGAAACAGAAGGTAGTTGTTTGTATTCTCGCTCTAGGACCCCCAAGACCCGAACCTCATACAGAGAAAAGAAGCTTACTGCAGTGTGTGCACGCTATTTAAATAGTGTGTATCATAATATTTTGGGTTAGTTGAAACAAAAAAAAATAGTGGATACTGGAGAGATGGATGTAATCCAGGTCTATATATCCTGCAGTGAAACACTGATTTTAGTTTAGAAAATGCTTTACTGGACTCAGTGCAAGTGTCTGCATATTTTCATTTGGTGGTGGTGAAGGCATATTGGATTTAAACATGCCAGGACATTCCTAGAGGCTCGTTTATTTTGATTAGTGGATCTTGTTCTGGGTTTTTTTTTCTTTTTAATATCTTTTGACCTTGGACAGCAATTAAACGCATAGCAAATCTCATGGTATTTTGGTTTTAAAGGCTGTTTTCACAAGTTGTAATTGATGTTGGTAAGTATATGATGATTGTATGTATAATTATGGCAGTTTAGAATCTGGATGTGTGTTGTCATCCCTTTCTTCATGCTTTGTGAAGACATCAAATCTGATCCTGAAGGCAGTTTTTCATACATTGCAAACTTGTATCAAGTGTATTCTTCCTTTGCAAGAGTTCACGGTTCGTGAGATTTACATGCATCTCTTTTACGAAATCAGTAGAGTATACATAATTTTAAAATACGTCCACTCTCCTACCAGTTCCTCACCGAAATGTAGGTGTTTAAGTTTTACCCCAGAGCAGTGTAACCGTATTTTTATGGTAAGGGGCTGCGTTTCTGTGTAGTGACTTGAACTTAAGTGTTAAACATTGAACGATCTCAAGATTTCTCCCATTCTGCAGCATTTTTTATAACTGAATTGTTATCCATTAAAACTAGTCCTGCAGGGGAGTTGGATTTTAAATTATTTTCTGCTTAGGTGGCTAGTCACATCCTTAATTCCCATCTCCCACCACCACCCCAGTAACACCGAGTACATTGAGCTAACGTCCTGAATTGAAGTACAGCCCATGTCTGCAGTCGACATAAAAATGACCTCATTGTTTGGTGGCAAAACAGAGCCGGCAATGCCAACGGTGCCTTGCTGCGTGTAGGGAATTTCAACCTTTTCTGCAGAAAATGAGAAATAGAGGAAAGGAGTCTGCCAAGACATGAAGCAAAGATCAGAGTAGTAGACTCTTCTTGGTGTCCTGTATCTGAGACTGTCCCATACGAGTTGGGCATGAATCCTTATGGGCTTAAGCCAGCTTGATTTAGTTGGTTTATATTGTTGGGAGGGGATCTGAGCAACGTAGGCGATTGGAAGGCGACCTCTGCTGGGAAGTTATGGTAAGATTTATATTGGAAATGCTCTTTGGTCGTAGCCTGCCTGCTTCCAGCTTTTACCTGCAATAATTCTTGTTTCTATTTACGTTCTTTTCTGCAACTGTAATACCTTAGCTGGAGGAATGTGTCTTTTTTTTCCCCCCTGCCTTTTAAGATACTTAAATGTCTTTGTGCTAAGTGATTTGCAGAAAACACTGCCCTTAAGAATTCAGTCACAAGATAAATGGGACTGAGACTCCTGTCCCCTTTATTCCCCTTCAGGAATTGACAAGGAGAACGTGGAACTCTCGCCTACCACGGGACACTCCAACAGCGGAAGGACACGCCACGGGTCTGCGAGTCAAGTGCAAAAGCAGCGAAGTGCCGGCAGTTTCAAACGTCACAGCATTAAAAAGATTGTGTGAAGCTTTCTTTGGAAACTAACTGACATACTCGGGCTCCTCACTAGTGGCCCTCCACCAGTTGCGATGCTGCACTTAATTTTTAACGTTCCCATCCTGTCAGCCGCGTTGCCAGATGATCAACTCTTGAAACATTGCCTGAGTTTTAATGCCTTCTTTACCCTTCTCCTGTTTTTTGATTTAAGCCAGTGTTCCAGAGCCATTCTGCAAAACGGTTTGTAGATCCTGAAGAACTTTGTAGGTGAAGAAAGTCTGGAATTCGTTAACACTGCAGTACAGTAACTGTTCAGAGATGAAAGCCATTTCTCATAGACAGTTCTACCTTGCTTTTGTTATTATGCCTTGTTTGTTTCTTCTTTAAAGGAAAGTGTTAATGCTTAATAGTGTTTGCACACTTCTCAAGTTAGTGTCTTTATGAGCCAGGGCTAGTAACTGTAATCCTGGTCTTAATTCAGATCCATCAGATTTTTAGCTGTGGACTTTTTTTTACCATACTTAAAAGAGTCCTACGATATTAGCCACAGTGCGGTAAGCCTAACCAGGGGTTGATAAATTTTTAGCGATGAGCAATAAAAGTAAGAGGACATGGAGGCCATTTAAGTCTCTCCATTCCCCAGAACTTAGCTTCACATACTTGCAACTATATATGGACCAGACTGGACAAACTGACTTTTTTCCAAAGCACATTTATTTTTGCTGAACTTTGACTGCACTAAAAAATATGATTGTATAGAGGAAGCAAATTGTCAAGAGTGCATTTTTATGCTGTCATAGAAACTGCTTTTTTTGTTTCCATTTAGCATGCACTCTAGTTTTGCCCTTTCTGCCAATGCATGCACCTTCAGGGAAATCCTGGCAAAAGTAACTATTGGGATATGGAGAGGAAAAATTATATGAATTAACTTCAAACTTTCATAGAGTTATGTTTGGCAGAGCTGCTTTTGTGCTGCCTAAACAATGAGACAGCAAACAATTTATGTTCATTTAAAGTACCATATTTACTTGAACACAAGACTAAGTTCCCCCTCTCAATCAGTATGGGGAAAAAGGCCCTTCATTTTACATCGCATAAAAAGAAACCTCATAAAAGACATTATCTTTCAAGTCATGGTGAGCCACTGCATTGCATACATTTTGCTCCCTCTTCACTCCCACAGCTGAGCTGTGCCTTTCTTTCCCATTAGAAGTGATTCTGAACCTATTCTCCAGCAGCTTCTGGCCATTGTTCCTCGTCACCCCAGGTGCTGCTGGGGGGAATAGGGCCCTTCCTATTTGCTGCAGAGCTCCCCTAACGAGTTTGTAG